TCTTTATTGAGGGACTTTCAGAAGGGGGGGGGGGTGGGGAAGACGAAGATACAATAAGAAACGAAACGTAGAGTTGAGATCCAATGATCCATCCTGCCGAAATTACCGAGATGGAGGCAAAACGCTAGACTGCAGCCAGAACTGCACGTCCTACGTTGGAGATCTTCAGCGAGGGAGCTCGCATTTGGTCGCTGGACGGAGGAAGGGTCGTATTTGCATCCAAGAAAAATGTTTTCGATTGTTGACTTTTCTCAGTTGCTCTGTTTTTCCACATGTTTACTTTTGATTTTTAGCTGACACATAAGGTGGAGACGTATCGAGATTGCTACTGGAACGCAGACGAGGTAGAAGATGATTAGAAAGAGAGAGAGAGAGAGTGTGTGCATTCCTTTATCTCACCTCTTTCGCTGGTTGTTTTTCAATGTTTAATTTTTTTTACATTCCTGGTGACTAATTTGCACCGCTAGCCTTATTTGTCTTGAGTTTCGTTTATCAGGTGTTTCATTCGCTCTTTCTTGTAAACTCTCTACAAGTGACTCTTCTTCCTCCTACGGGTTACCCTTTTTTGTATCTCAAAGGTTGATCTAAATCTGTCAGATGTTGCACTGCATGTTTTCCTCATGCTCTTGTATCCTCCACAATTTCCACTTCCCCTGATCAAGTATTGTATGCTTTGTGAACTTGCCAGAATAACGATTCCCGACGCCACTCTAAGTCTCAGGCTGTTATGATTGACTCATGCATTTTTTGATTGCTGTCAACAGAATGAAAATGAATTTTTTACATATTAGGCTATTATGTACATAAACGAAAACCATCATTATTGATATCAAGCTGCACCGATATCAGTAGTTGCGGTGTTAATCCGTAACTGTGCTTTCGAAGCGCTAGCTTGACTGGGAAGAAATGGTAAACTTCTGAGGAATGGCCACGAGTGGAAAATCCTGAAAATATTTTACATAGAGCTGAAAAAATGTTTACACTCTATTTCGCTGCGGACGGTTGGGCGTGTCAGGCAGTATGAGTGTGTCACCCGTCAAAGCCGTTCTCTGCCTTCTTGTTGAAGCGCGCATGCGACAAAAAGTGGTAGAAAACGAGTAATACGAACGATATGATACAGTCATATCACTTGCTCGCTTTAACAACTGGTGGGTTTGGCACCGCGCCAAACTCATCCCGCCTGACACGCCCAACCGTCCGCAGCGGACTACACTATAAATTTCGTGGTTACATTGATTTCATTGGTTCTCTCAGAAATTCTCAAGTGTGTTGTGCGTACCGCACCATTATAAATTATAAGTCACGGAAATTTTAGGCGGGAATAGAGTATCAAGGCTTTCCGTTGAAATGATAGGCACGCGGGTGCATTCAGCAAGACTCAGTTTTCGACTTAGGCCGTCTCAGGACACATGTCAACCGGAAAGCTTCTCCCCTCCCTTTTTTCTCCCTCCTTCCTTCTTTTTCTTCCTTCCTTCTCTGATCCCTCCTCCTTTACCTTCCCCTTCAACTGCTGGACTGGTAGATGCCCCGTGAAATTAGCCCTGGACCCTCGCAGCGAGAGATCGTCTGGTTGACATCTGCCCGTAACCGACTAGCGAGCCACCTGGCCAGGGTGCGAGAACGCGAAATTTGACGTCCCCCTTCGTGGTCTCACCCCGGAGGTTTCCGTTCCCTCAACAAGATTTCATCCGTCCTCTAAATATTTTGCGGAGGGCTTTTAGCGTACTGTCCCAGTAAATTGTAGGTTTCAAGGGAACAAGAAGGATACAGTATCGTAAAGTGCGCGTAAAATTAAGTGCGAAGGAGCAGCGAGTGCACCCGCACCATTCAGTTTTCGTCGTAAGCAGCACCTGGCCGTGGGTGGAGAAGCAAAAATCAGCTGTCGTCTGTTCTTACTGGCCCTACCCACGGTGTTTTCTCCCTTTTAATAGACGTACCTCAAAACTTGGTTAGCAAAAATCGGCTTACCTTTATTCATGGGCCGACACATTTAATTCCGCGCCTAATCATAACCATAAGCATACCGTATCCCACCTCTTTTCCTCAATTTGTAATCTTATTACAGTACCTGCTTGTCCACTCCGGGAAGCCGTAAGCGTCCTCGTCATCGGCATATTTTTCTTCATAATGGTCCACCGACCCACTCAGACCTCGTTGTTGTAAAGTGGCTCCTGAGCAAAAGTGGCACCGGTCAATGAGCCTATGAGTGGCGATAAGTATAGCTAACATAGTTAGTTACCTGGCACAGTATTGTCCAAGATGACGGCTACTACTCCTCCGACAAGCATTTTTATGCTCAACAGCATGTTAACGATTTGATCCCATTCATTGTTTCCTGAATTAATTAAATAATGGAAGTCAACAAACTGCAATAGATTTACTCAGCAGTGATTTTTGAAAGCAGCTCAGGATTAGAGGGAGTATGTGTGCAAATTTGCACTTTTAGATGCAGGAGGCTTACCTTCAGATGCGTTCTTTTCATCGCTCTAACTACAGTCTTGTTCGCCGTGGATGCTAGGGCGTGTCAGGAAGGTTGATTTGGCGTGGAGACAGAAAGTCCTCCACCATTTCTTGAAACAAGTAAGCGACAACAATTGGTGGAGGACGTGTGGGCGAAGCGCCAAACCCTGCTCCCTGACACGCCCAGCATCCACAGCAAACAAGATGTTCGCAAAATCTGTCCGAATGATTGCTCGTTTGTGAAATACTTGATAATCACGTCCCAGCGCTCTTTCAATAAAATCCGTAATACGTAGAATCCCTTGCGGCTTGAGCCAACCTAGCCCACACTTTCTCTGAAGTCGAGTAAGTGGTAGTAAAATTGCCTTGAGAAAGGTACTGGTAGGAAAATCAACACTAATCCAGTAAGGTGGGGTATATACTATTCTGCAAAACTTGGAGTACCATGATGTGGGGTTTCCTTCACAAGTGAAGGAATCGATTTAAGTAATTCGGAGTCCCGACCCCACCCCCGCCTTCCTCCCCACAGCTTGGGCAAAAGTCTTCTTTCCTGAAGAGTACCTTCGCTCAAACTGTGTGGAGGGAGAGGGGGGAGGGAAAGGAGGGTGGAAGTCGATGTCATTTGCTGAAGCTGTGGAGAGGGAGAGTGAAAATTGATGTCATTCGGGAATGAGTCCAGACCCCAAACGAGTTCGAATTTCAGAAACCTCCACCTCACTGAATAGCGCTCGAGAACCAAAAATCCTGCCAAGCTTTCTGTCATATTACAGTGACGAGAGGTAAGGGGTAGCAGGCGCGCTTCGAATTGTCTTCAAATTTTGAAGGATGCCTCATGCATGGCGTCCTTCCAAGAACTGCAAAACCGCATTCCTCCTGAGCACGTTGGCTCTTAAAAAACCTCCACCTGACCACCTGTCTTCCCCGTTAGATCAGGCTTTTCTTAGATGGCTGTACATTTGTGACCTTTCAGGCAGCTCTTACCTGATCTGATTGGTGACCGTTCGAGGTGAAGTGGTAGTACAAGACCAGCCATCAATGACAGACCCAGTATGGAGAGATTCCGGGTCAATTTCAAGTCAATCAACTGAAATAGGTAACTTCAACATTTTTAGGATGACACGGGTTGCGCTGCATAATTGCACCTTCACGTTCAGATAAGAGTCCGATTCTACTTGCAAGCAGAAATATTTTGAAAGTAGTCTTGCTGGCTGGGTATATGGTCGGGATAGTGATGAATTGGTGCTGTCAAACGACCGTTCCCCTCTCCTCCCCCTCCCTCCCCAGTTTCTTCCACTGTTACGATCCTTTAACGATGGGCATAGGTCGCGCCATTACCACCTAGGATGGGGAGGGAGGAGGTGGCATAATAGATACGAAGCAGTAAAACCGTGAAAAGCCAATAACCAAGAAATTTTCTTTCGTGGCTCAGAAAATTTTCTAAAAAAGACCATACACGACCCTCCCTCCTCAAGCACGACCCCCCCCCCAACGATGTTGTACTGTGCTCTCTGGCTCAGGCAAACCTACCGGGTATCTCGGTAAGATTGCGCAGTCGAATGGTGCGAACGACGTGGCCCTGCGGCGTATAGAATGTAGGAGGTGGCATACGAAAATCTAGCCCCTCAGAATCCCACCATCAGATAAGATCCGATCCTACTTGGCAAGCAGAAATATTTTGAAAAGTAGATCTTACTAGCTGGGTATTATGGGGGGTGTGGTGGTATATGGTCGGGATAGTGATGAATTGGTGCTATCAAACGACCGTTCCCCTCTCCTCCCCCTCCCTCCCCAGTTTCTTCCACTGTTACGGTCCTTTAACGATGGGCATAGGTCGCGCCATTATCACCTAGGATGGGGAGGGAGGAGGCGGCATAATAGATACGAAGCAGTAAAACCGTGAAAAGCCAATAACCAAGAAATTTTCTTTCGTGGCTCAGAAAATTTTCTAAAAAAGACCATACACGACCCTCCCTCCTCAAGCACGACCACTCCCCCCCCCCCCAACGATGTTGTACTGTGCTCTCTGGCTCAGGCAAACCTACCGGGTATCTCGGTAAGATTGCGCAGTCGAATGGTGCGAACGACGTGGCCCTGCGGCGTATAGAATGTAGGAGGTGGCATAACGAAAATCTAACCCTCAGAAGCCTCTTGCTTCATAGCTACGCTTTCCATTGACGAAGGTGCTAAATTCGTGGGGGTGCGGAAATGCCAATCCTGCTCACGTGCAGCTGATAGGGCCTAGAACCAGGGCATGGCCATTAGCGCACTCATGCAGAATTCCCACCAGTTCGTGGCGGGCTCACGGAAAGGATCCTCCTCCAAGATTATCACGTATTATGTCTTTAGGCAGCTATACATGGGTTCTCAAAAATATTGAGAGAAATTGAAAGGGGTTAATACCTGTAGATTGCTCATTGCCACACCAGCAATCATGGATATTCCCATCATGAGAACACCGCCGACTAATGCGTCTGGGATCGAAGGCTAACAAGGCGGCCATCTTGGTGAATAGACCTAGGAGAATCAAAATAACACCGGCGATTTGCATGGTCGTTCGGCTGGCCACCTGAAATAAATCTCAAAACATCAATGGTACAGTCATACCCTTGCAATTGATAGGGCGTAGAACGCGGGCATGGCTAGGAGCGCACTCATGACAGATTTCCCACCAGTTGTAGCGGGCTCATGGATGGCAACATTGTTGGAATAAGGCCGAACTGGCTGCCCTACAATACGCGCCGCGTCACACGGCTTATCATTTGCAGGGAATGACTGTACAGTTCACGCTGGTCGTATGAGAGGGAATAGCAAACCATTGTGCGCTCCTTATCGGTAACCTCCATTTTATAAAGTGAAGAGAAGAGGCAAGCTAATGAGGAGCGCATGATGGCTAACTGTCTCCGCCCATATGCTCAGCGTTGACTTGAACAGGCACACACCCAGGACTTATAACCTCTGGCTCCAACATACTTGTGAGCACTTGCTAGTGTTACTACAGTCGCACTGGTCGAGTTTTTAATCTTCGTTTCTTCGAGCTATACGCTAACTTTTTCGTGGCGGCCAAATTAACTTAGCCGACGTTTTCGCACCCCCAGTTTAGAGGTCGATAACGGACCTCTGAGCTACTAAAGGTTGAGTTGACCCTTGATTGAACCTCAGCATGTTAGTTGTGAGTGTTTCAGTTCTTTTTTGCCTTACGAGCTTGTTAAAGGACAAGCCTTTCCCACTAGTCAATCCCTGTTGAGATGTGGCACGCATTCTACTTCCATTCAGAATCGTAGTGGCTTATTGAATGCGATGTGGCCTATACAATGACTTGCGGGGCCAGCCGATGTACAAGTCAGTGTTCTTATCCTCCCAGACGAATCTGGTGCCAATCTGCCGTCCTGGTTGGAAGAAAGCCTTGATGGCCTGGGGCAGGAACCGATACGGGATTCGATCGCTCGACCGCGCTAGTGCTAAGAGCGCCTCTGCCACTACACCACTTCCGCTTCATCATTTCGGAAATACTTAAAAAAGCAAACCTTGGTGATATGAATCAGAGCGATGTTTTCCGCATATGTAGTGACACCTGTACACACACCCATTACTGCCGCAAACATACTGGCGAGACCTAGAAAAAAATGTGGTAATATCATCTGGCAGAGACCTAGAAAAAAAATGTGAATTTTACTAATTTTGGACAGAATAGGAGAAAATGGCCTCTGCTCTCTGGATCAGGACTGGAGACTTGGTCTGCTCTGTCTGAACCCATAAGGGATAGCGGGAATAGTTACATACAGTCTGTTCACCCGAGACTGACTGAGGCGATGTTAACGGGGTGGCGTGGCCGCTGGCTGTTTCTTACCTGGTCTGGAAGCCGTGCTGGCGACCCAAGAGTTGCCTGGGAAAATGCTGCCCCAAATCCCAGCGTCCAGTAGCAAACAAGACTGTACTGACAACAGCTTAGCTCCCTCAAACATTACACTGAAAGGACACCAAAGTGATTACCCATGATGGATGTTTGAACACCTATGGTAAACTGACCGAAACACTACCAGAAATCAGAGTAGTACCTACCTTCAACCATGATGGCACGGTTGACAGCGTTCTTCGGAGGCGATCTTTGCTGTGAGACTCGAGCCAAAAGATCATAGGCGCCGATATTTTCGATGACGCTAGCCATACATGATGCCACATATCCCAAACATAATCCCATGCTCCATTTTGGCATACCAAATTGACCTTAACAACAACTGAATGGATTGTTACTGTGGGGACAGTTTCAATCTACTCAGCATACTCTCATGAACATACCAGGAAAAGGCACCTGAAACCATGGTGACTCCCGAAGAACGACCATTGTTACGTTCTTATCGGTTCGAGCCTGACCACCAACAGGTTCGAAGTTCGTGATTGTCATCAGATAACAAACGAACCATACCAATAAGATGCTGAGTAGGTACTGAAAGGTATTTATATTAAACAGAGATACCTAGGAATCCCTCGAAGCATCTGTATTTACTGAAGCAGCTTAAACGCTGACTTAATACGTTTCTCAGTTTCCAGGCCCAGTATGAGACTAAAGCTTTCTCCGAACATGTGGCCTTTCAAGGCTACTGGGTAGGACGATCTTCTATAGGTTAACACAACTCTCGTGAAAAGTGGTAGCGCTATGGCCGCGACCCTCACATCTATTCAGATGCACACGCGCAAAGCAACTGGAAAGATCTTTCTAGCCGGGATGCTCGGCCCCTGACCGTTTCTTTCTCCCCTGACGTGACCGCCTCTGGCAGTTATCTCCATATGTCTGTGCTTTTAGCTTTGGAAAAAGGAAAAGCCTAGCGTTGACATGCCTCACAATCTGAGGCCATTTCTACCACCCACTGCTGCACCACTTCTGCACTTTCGGCTTTCATCCGATAGCCACGTTTCTGTTAGCATGGACCAGAACTTACTGAGAGCTATTATGCAGAATTAGTCTGCAAAAATTTCATCCTAAGTGAGGTGATCTGCTTCGGCACGCCATTTAGTACGTTGCGCCTCTCTCATGGTAGATTGCCCACCAATCGCATTTTGTGTTGACTTTAGCTGAGCGCCACGAACTGCAGCGCTCCGAACGAAATTATACCACCAGTAAGGCAAGTCTTACCGGGAAACTGTCCAAAAAGTCGAACTCTGGTTGTAATGACTCGCATCTTCTTGAATGAATAGTAAGGAACTGGTATAAGAACTTCTTCCAGGTATACCGCCATCGCCGCGATACTGGCGAGCATACTGTAAAGAATAGCTTCAATAAGAATTCAGCGCGAAAAAGAAACTTGTGCCCAACATTCTGCCACTTCCTCTGACTCTATTTTAATAGAAACGATGCAAAACCTACTGCGTACACTGATTCCGATGGTTACTTTCACGAAATCCAACAAGAAAACCCGAAATTTGTCAAACCCATGCATATACAACCAGAGGAAGCATGCCTCGGATGCAAGTTCGTGGATTTGTAATATTCTACGCCATCTGTAACACTCAGTAGCCCAAGTTAAGCTCATCTGAGCGGGTATTTCGTGGCGCGGGCGACGAGCTCTCGGCTACGCGCGCATGAAGCTGACGCGTTAACCACTGCACTATCGATCAACAGCTGCAGGAGTGCCGTACGCTGTACGAAGAGCTATTTCACGGCTGTTTCATTTCCAATGAAACCTTGAATGCTATTCGTCCTCATTCACTTATGTTCAAGCCCCATTTTTTTATCTGAAGCTCTTCTTATAGACACTATTCGAGGGGAGACAAGTTGAAAACACGCTCTAATATACCACAGCGATTCCGAGGCCGAAGTCTGTAGTGCGTGGCGCCACAGGTGGGGGCATTTCGTGTCGGAAAGCTCATCCGTCTGAGCTGTACTGTAGATTGTGATGTATAAAGTTCATTGAGGGAAGAATAGGGGATACATACGTCTTGAAGCGAATCAGCAAGGGAAACTAGGTGAGGGGGGGTTATAGCGCGGCCCTTCCACCGGTTGTTGCAAACTCAATACTGTAGATCCCATAAATTGGTGAGAAGGCCGTCCTGGCTGCGCTCTAACCCATCCATCCCACACCGAGCTCGGCGTCTGCAGGAATGTAGGCTGACAGCGGAACTAGATAATACTTCTAAAAAATGGCTGGCGAAAGGACTGAACCACAGTCAACGGGTCTTCAAAGAGTTCATATGAATAGATCATATTAAACCCTACTCTCTATCCTCCACTTCACAATTAGTGACCAAGGGCACTCCTACATCGACGCTGAAAAGAAAGAGTGATCAGACTTACACTAGTGAGATCCAATGGAGGAGATAGCTTGCTTTCGATAGTCGGCACAAACTGGTGTTAGCAGAATCATCAAGGGCACGCGATGGTTATTGTTCAAATCAGACTTCCGCAGAGTGCTCCGCCGGCAATCCCGAACACCGCAACCACAAGAAACGTAATGCACGCAATGCATAAACTTCCAGATATCTGGAAAGCTAGGTGCAAATTTTAACAGAACATGCTTTTGATAATCTCTACCTCCTGAAGTCGCTCATGCCAAAGTTCGTCATTTACACGGTCATTCTCAGTATATGGGCATTCGCTTGCTCTGAGTGCCTTATAGGCTAATAATGGAGGAAGGAATGCCATCGCTGGACCATGTAAAACACATAACCTGCAAGCATTTTTGCAGTGTACTCAAGCTTCTCTTAGGACGGATCTGAAATTCATCAGGAAAAAAGTTTATTGAGCTGAAAAAAATTGAGAAAGCCCACCGTAATCCGAACGTAGTCTGGATTATAGTGGCAATGCCACAGCTTACAAAGGTTGCTGCTATTAACTGCACTCGCAGCGGCACAGTGGCGTCACCGGCGCAGGCGGCTTCGGAGACAAGAAATGGATAGACGAGCAGTCCTGACAGGCACAGCATCGCCTGCTGAAAAAAGAGAAATCAGCTACAAGTGTCCCTAAATGAAGGCAATCTACTGTGGCTATGGGAAGTCTCCTTCAACAGCATCCATCTCCGATGAAAAGTTCGGAGCGCTTTTTACTGGTCATTAAATTCTTAATTGATAGGGACTTACTTTGGCGTGACAGGAAGTGCCTTGATCGCAATTATTAAACCTGTCCTTGCTAGGTTGATTGACGTATAAAGTGGGACTGTATAATTTTGCAGCCAGTGCATGCCCTGCCGTTGGAGAGACTTTTTGCAAAGTCGTGACCCCTTCGAAATTCTCCCTTCTGGGATGACCTCCTCCACCCAATATATCCTGCCCACCCTCTTACTGAATCTTCTCAACCTCCTACCACCCTTCCCTTAGTTTCTTTTTTTAAAGGATTCTTCCACATTTCCCAATAAAAACTGTCGACTGGAAATATGAGCGCGTTTGAGACAAGTGAAACAGGAAAAATATAGAGAAGTCAACAACCGAAAATCTTTTTTTCCAGAAACAAATACGACCCTCCCTTGGCGCAGCACAAATACCCCCTTCGGAGTCGTTTCGCAACAAAGTAACTGAATATTGTAATAATAAAGGTGAGGATAGAATATTTCACGGAAGAAAACTTCGGAAAATATGAACGATTTTTGTGAAAAATTAGAAACCTGGAATCCAAACATCATTGCCGCAGACCATGATGGCACTTCGTTGACTCGAAGATGGAGTGGCTCTTGCACTGACGCGACACTCATCTAACGAAATCTAAATTTGCTTTCGTTTTTAGCACAAAACAGGGGAGATTTGAAAAAGCTATAGAAAAAGGAGCAGAACACTCAAAGCTTGACTGGTATGTGGAAGTCACTATGTAGGACAAGTCTCGAGTTCAGGTGCAACTCACCTTATGGGTGGTAAACGCTGGCGTGCTTCGTTCCAGGATTTGCTAGGTCTCGTAAGCCAGCCAGAACAATGCCGCAATGTTCCTTGTTATGAGAACCTTAAACAATCTATACACGCAGTGCTAGCCTTGGGGCATTATAGGGTAGGACTGCTTGGTTACGATAAAGTCCGAATTGTTCCGTTTTGCTACGTTCTGGTACTGCCCTTATGATTACCAGTGAAACTTGTGAGCTCTTATGAAGCTTGTACGAGCTCGTCGAGCTACTATGGTAGATGTAATTGCATGGCATTTAATTGCTTCACAAGAGCTGATAAGTACTCTTTACAAGAGTTGACAAGTAATCGCTACATACTTTGGCTGGCATCACGTAATGACATCACAACACAGGTTTTTACGATGGCTCGACATGTCAGTGGGAAGCGCAAGGATACAAAATTCCCCAGTTCCTCCCTTCGCTGCCGAACTGCGCCACAGCAACGGAATATAATTAGGTTTACGGGGACGTTCTGTCACTTTTTCGAACTCAAAATATTTGTCTATTACCTGAAGAGGGGTGAACGGTAATGTGAGCAGCTGCACACAGGGTACAGCATCGTTGTGTCAAACCCATGGGGGGGTCGTACTTTTGCTCTGGGGAGGGGGGGGGGGGTCGTATTTGTAAGACAAATTTATTTTGATAGTTGATTTTTTCTTGTGGAAAAGGGGGGTCGTATTAATTTTTGTTTTATATGCACTATATGCATGTGTCTACGTCCCCGTGGAATATACG